TATATATATATATATATATATATATATATATATATATATATGTATGTATGTATATATATATATATATATATATATATTCTGTGTGGTTATTATGTTCTCACTGATTTATAAAAAAGAATAGAGGTTAAACTTCTAACAAGGGAGTGCCTTCGTATTAAAGTTACCTCAAATGTGAGAAAGTTCTTGTTAGTTGAAGCAGTCTACTTATTAATTTTTTTATCATGTTATATTTTGTTAAAATAAGAATGCTCTACCTCTCACCTTTCACAGTTGGACTTTTGTTACAGTATATTAGTGTCTTTGATAGACTTCTTATTTTAACAAACTGGCCCATTTAGTTGAAACCATATATTCCTAAAGCTAATGTCCTAGCATTAAATAGCCCAAATTAAAGTGTGAGGAAAGTAAAGATAAATTGTAAAGAACTGACAAGGAAACTTGAAAGACCATTTATAAGAAGTTATATTTTTAACACCCATTTATTTTCCCTTGGGAGTCCAAAATCTCAGTGTGGGCATGGAGGTTGGAAAGACTGTTGGTTAGCATACTTATCTCTGATGATGCCTTTAGTCATTGCTCTTAGAATTCAGCAGCAGATCTTCTTGAAACTGAAATAATTTACTTATTAGTGCTTATAATTAGCCAACACAATTAGTTGTGCTTTGGAGTTTGGCCTTTTTAATCTTTGTGGGTGCCCATGGTATAGGGTCTGGTGTGAGAGAGTCTTGCCTTCTTACCTTCTGGTATAACTACCAGGATGGTCACAGGGAAGTATTTCTTGTGCCCTGTCCCACTGTTTTCCTAGAATGTCGATAGCCGTTCTTTCTGGTTCCCAGCCAAAGCTGTGCTCTGTGTGTAGGAAATCTAAATGGGTCCTTCTCTTTAGTCCAGGGGTCTGATCAAGTCAGGGGTTTTAGTAGTTTCATAGGGCTGCCATAATAAAATACCACTTCTGGCTTGCTTAAACACAGAAACGTATTGTCTCACAGTTCTAAAGACTAGAAATCCAAGATCAAAGTGTGGGCAGTTTTGGTTCCTTCTGAGGTCTATGAAGAAGAAATCTGTTCTCTGCCTCTTTCTAGCTTCTAGTGGTTTGCCGAAAATCTTCGGTGTTCCTTGGCATGTAGAAGCGTCACCCTGATCTCTGCCCTCATCTTCACATGGCATTCTCCTGTGTACGTGTCTGTCTCCAAATTTGCCCTCTTTATAAGGACACCAGTCATATTGGATTAAGGCCTACCCTAATGACCTCGTTTTAAATTGATTACCTCTGTAAAGAACCTATCTCCAAATAATGTCACATTCTGAGGTACTGGGGGTTAGGACTCCAACATGTGAATTTGGAGGGGGGACACAATTCAATCCATAACAAAGATTGAGCTAGGTGGGGCTGGGTTGCAGTTTTAGGGAAGACTTAGTTCACTTCTGGCTCATGTATGCTTTTTGGAGGGGTCTCTGTCTCCTCAACCCTGAAAGTTTTGCCTTTCTGAGGTTTTGAGATTAGTATACTCTAGCCTCCCACCTTGTTCATTGCGGGGGACCAGCTGTTATTTTTTCAGGTCTTCTGTCTAGCAGGAATTTGTCTCCTAAGCACCAGGAGATGTGGAAGATTTTTTTTTTTTTTATTGAGTATAGTTGATTTACAGTGTTGTGTTAATTTCTACTATACAGCAAAGTGATTCATTTATATATATATATACACACACACACACACACACACACACACATTTTTTTTCATATTCTTTTCCATTATGGTTTATCACAGGATATTGAGTATAGTTCCCTGTGCTATACAGTAGGACCTTGTTGTTTATCCATCCTATATATAATAGTTTGCATCTACTAATCCCATACTCCTTATCCATCCCTCCTCCACACACACCCCCATTGGCAACCACAAGTCTATTCTCTATATCCGTGAGATTGTTTCTGTTCTGTAGATAAATTCATTTGTGTCATAATTTGGATTCCACATATAAGTGATATCATATGGTATTTGTCTTTCTCTTTCTGACTTACTTTGCTTAGTATGATAATCTCTAGGTCCATCCATGTTGCTGCAAATGGCATTATTTCATTTTTTATGGCTGAGTAGTATTCCATTGTATATATGTACCATATCTTCTTTATCCATTCATCTGTCGATGGACATTTAGGTTGCTTCCATGTCTTGGCTATTGTAAATAGTGCTGCAGTGGACACTGGGGTGCATGTATCTTTTCAAATTATAGTTTTCTCTGGATATATGACCAGTTGTGGGATTGCAGGATCATGTGGCAACTCTGTTTTTAGTTTTTTGAGGAACCTCCGTACTGTTTTCCATAGTGGCTGCAGCAATTTACATTCCCACCAACAGTGTAGGAAGGTTCCCTTTTCTCTACACCCTCTCCAGCATTTGTTATTTGTAGACTTTTTAATGATGGCCATTCTGACCAGTGTTAGGTGATACCTCATTGTAGTTTTGATTTGCATTTCTCTAATAATTAGCTTTGTTGATCATCTTTTCATGTGCCTGTTGGCCATCTGTATGTATTATTTGGAGAAATATTTATTTAGGTCTTCTGCTTATTTTTTGATTGGGTTTTTTTTTTGCTGTTGTTGTTGTTGTTATTGAGTTGTATAAGCTGTTTGTACAGTTTGGAAGTCCTTGTCAGTCACATCATTTGCAAATATTTTCTCCCAGTCCATAGACTGTCTTTTCATTTTGTTTAGGTTTCCTTTGCTGTGCAAAAGCCCATAGGTTTGATTAGGTCCCATTTGTTTATTTTTGTTTTTATTTCTGTTGCCTTGAGTGACTGACTTAAAACATTGGTATGATTTATGTCAGAGAATGTTTTGCCTATATTCTCTTCTAAGAGTTTTATGGTATCATGTCTTATATTTAAGTCTTTAAGCCATTTTGAGTTTATTTTTGTGTATGGTATGACGGTGTGTTCTAATTTCATTGATTTACATGCAGCTGTCTGTCCAAGTTTCCCAGTACCACTTGCTGAAGAGACTGTCTCTTCTCCATTGTGTATTCTAGGCTCCTTTGTCAAAGATTAATTAACCGTAGGTGTGTGGGTTTATTTCTGGGCTCACTATTCTGTTCCGTTGATCCATATGTCTGTTTTTGTGCCAGTACCACACTGTTTTGATTACTGTAGCTTTGTAGAATTGTCTGAAGTCTGGGAGAGTTATGCCTCCTGCTGTATTCTTTTTCCTCAGGATTGTGTCAGCAATTCTGGGTCTTTTATGGTTCCATATAAATTTTAGGATTATTTGTTCTCCTTCTGTGAAAAATGTCATGGGTAATTTGATAGGAATTGCATAAATCTATAGATTGGTAGTACGGCCACTTTAACAATATTAATTATTTCAATCCAAGAGCATAAAATATCTTTCCATTTCTTTGAATCATCTTCAGTTTCCTTTATTAACGTTTTATAGTTCTCAGCATATAAGTCTTTCACCTCCTTGGTCAGGTTTATTCCTAGGTCTTTTTTTTAATGCAGTTTTGAAAGGGAGTGGTTTTTTTTACTTTCCCTTTCTGATATTTCATTGTTAGTGTAAGGAAATGCACCCGACTTCTGTTATGTTAATCTTCTATCCTGCTACCTTGCTGAATTCGTTCCATCAGTTCTAGTAGTTTTTATGTGGAGTCTTTAGGGTTTTCTATATATATAGTATCATGGCATCTGCATATAATGACAGTTTTCCCTCTTGAGATGTGGAGGATTTCATTCTGCCTTTCTAGCCACAGCTTCCCACCCACTGACAGCACAGCAAATGTCCCATGAGGAGAATGGCCTTGTATTGGGGGCTCCTCTGATTTTTATTTTGTCATGCTAGCCTTCACATAACCAGCATCACTGTGCTCTTTCCTTGAGGAAAAAGCCCTTTTGGGCCACACCCTATCAGCCTATCCTCAGCCTGCACCATCAGCAAATATCCTTACAGAGGAAGACATCTGGTGATTGGTCAGCTCACCCAGGGAGGGCTCTTCCCTTTCTGGGATTATAGTTCACCTCACCCTAATTGCTTCCATTGCTCTCTAATAGACTCAAAAATAGGATTTCTGCAATTTAGCTCTTTTTCCCTCTACTTGTTGGAGCAGAAGTGTTGGGCTACTATGTGTTACTACTGAGAAAGTGCTTTTCCTCTTCTTTACTACAGTGCAATACCCCAAGCCAGGGGGCCATAAAGATTCTGGTTCTCCTTTCTTAATAATCTTCTAATTCCCCAAGCTCCCTCTTTTTATTAGGTCAAGGCAGTGATTTTCAGTTTTCTGATTACAACCCAGAAGTGGTTTATAACTCAATTTAGCTACTTATGGCCAACATTTTTTAACAGCTTAGGAAATACTGTATGAAAGTGCATTGCTTATAGTAAAGAAATTTTGTTTTTACTGGGTCTGTCTGCAGTTCATTGCAAATCTTTATAAACCTTTAAATTATAAAATTGACTTTTTGAAAGCATGTGAATCCAAATAGAAAAAAAGAAAAACTCAACACTTCTGTGACAGGAATTGATAGCAGGGCAAAATTTTCTTTGTAAGTCACAACAGGGAATGATGATTTGTGTGGACAGGGCCACATCCAGGTCGCACCCCAGGACTGAATCTTCCTGACACTCAGGAAAAGTCGACCCCCCCCCTCCCCGATCTGCAGGAGGTTGTCACATCTTCCTTCCTTTCATTCATTCAACAAATATTTGCATACGTACTATTTGATAGATACTATTTTAAGTACTGGGAATACAGTGAATAAAATAAAGTCTCTGCTCTTGTGGATCTTACAGTCTCTGGAGGAAGACAGATTTTTTTTTTTTTTTTTTAAATATTCACGGTGTCAGGTGGTGGTAAGGACAAAGGGGATAGAATGACTTGTGGGCA